TGTTTTATTGAATGCCAAGTTCTGAGGTTTTGCTAAATTCAAATTCATTATTCAAACACTTTGAAATTTTAATTGGTCTACTCTTCTTGGGTTAACGATTCGATTAATCTCAAATTATTCTTAACTCCCTCCTAACATTTTTTTTTTATTTACGTAATGAATTTTCTTCTCTTCACAGTGTTTTTTCTGTTGGTCTTGATTAAATTCCTGGAGATTTCCTATTATTTTTGCTTAATATTATCTCTAGTTTATTTTTCGAAAATGCTATTAATGCTGGTATTTCCCGTTCCTTATGCAAATTATTTATTAGCCGCTTTTAAATTTCTGGTACCCTCTTAAGTTTAACAATATCGGAACGTTATTAAGCTCCCATATACCTAAGATGAGTATATAGACTCGTCTAGTTATCTGTTTTCAACCTTTTATTAATAACATTTTATCTGAGGATCATAAGTGCGTATTTCTACGTCGCTTACAAGTGGTCAAATATTTTTTTATAGTTTTATAAGAGATTTTTTGAAAACCATTCAAACCAATATTTGATGTTATAGTCAAAAATTAGATTTAGTGATGCAAATATGACCAGCTATTCAGATGAAGATACTATCAGCACTGAATTCGATGAGCCAACCCTTTCTTAGTTTTCTTTCTTATGTAAACATATATATAACTATAAAGTAAGAAACTAAACAACACGTGGTACTTTCTTCAATATTTTCACCTTCACCCTAGGTGTCCTTCATGGGGCTAATTCTCTCGCCTTTTTTATTTCCCTTTATTGTTAAAGGAGTGAATACCTATTGTTTAACATGATACTTACATACTTCATTTTTTAGATCAGTGACAAGGTACCTACACTCGAAGACCGAAGTGATTGGCTGTACAGCAAAGTGAGTTTCCCAGTTTTTATTTGTATGAATTATAATAAAATAATTTAACGCTTATAATTGACTGTAGGTATTTTAAGTCTTTAACATGGCATAATACTATTGATTGCTTGATTGCAAGCATAACTTATAAAAATATTTAATTAAATATGATAAAATAATAATTTTATATTCAAACAGACTGCAATTTTGCTATATCATTTGTATTTTTTTAAATGTACGCAAACTTGAAATGGCCTTTTTAAAAATATAGTGCAAAAATTCACAATGTTAACACCCTGAACATAAAAGCTACTACTTACGAAGTAGGTTCAAGTTAATAATTACAAATATTAGTCTTTCAAAATATAAATTAAAAATATGTCAACTAAATTATAAATACATACTTACTAATACATACTTAGGTCTTAGGTACACACATAATTGTATCATAAATTAAACGAATAATATTAATATAATATAATATAATATAATAGTATAATACCTATCTTCATGCTTTGCAAAGATATTCGTAAATTGTATTATTATTAATATTATTATCTGTTAATATAGTTTCTAGTTTCTTTTACTAAAAAGTAAATCCATTCTTTATGAGGTTTTTTTTTTGAAAAACTCACTTGTTGTGTAGGTAGTTATATTTAAGGTTAAGATTTTCTTATCTTCAAATATTGCAATTCCTAATGTAATATTAGTAATCGTAATAAATAATAATTATTCAAATATAAGACAACCTAATGAATTTATTTTGAGGGGTCAAATGTCTGATTGTTAAAAAATTTATAGGGGTCAAATGACCACGATTCGTATAATATAATACTAAGAATATTAAGAACACATACCTACTCTGTAAAAATTTAAATAGCGAACATTTGATTGGTTGTTTTTTATTATTATAATAGGTATATTGCGATGTTTTTTAAAGAACAAACACTTAATGTTGTTTACAAAATCTGAATTGATCACTGGTGTTGAGAGTGGGCACCGATGATCAGACATTCCATTGGTATTATTATAAAAAATAGATGGTCTCCACAAGTATAATCATATGATTATTTATTATATATAGCTACACTATTGTCTATACTCTATAGGTAGGTACCAACTTATAATATACTGTAGAGTGTAGATAGTGGTTGTCTCTAGTTAATTTAATTTTACGGTTTTCTAGAATATGAGCGTATAGGAAGGGACAAGGCCTTCCAAAATTGTAGTTTAATAATTTTTATGCAGAATAATATGGTTTATGGTCAGTTTATCATAACATAAATAATATGATAATAAAGAAAAATATTATATATTATTATTCATATATACCTATCTATATAGTTTTGATCAAAAACGAAAACGTGATGTAAATAATGGTATGTAAATATTGTAAATTATATCTGTAGTTTTATACTGTGTAACTAGTCACAAGTGTAACCCTAACCCATAAGTAAAAATATAACACAAGCGCAACTCATAATCGCAAACAATATTACCTTACAACAACCCATAAACTCAATAAAAATAATAAAATTATTAATTAACTTGTTGTGAAAACTAAAGTGGGTTAGCCGTTAGGTTACAAGGTCAATGAATTCAAGTATTTCCATATTTTATTATATATTATTTAAAATGAGTTAACACAAACTAATCATTTATACACATTTATTTCAACAACAACATTATATTTTCTTAAAATAAAAAATAATAATAATAAATTTCACAGACAATATATTTTTTAATTAATTCCACTTTAGGCCTAAGTTATCAGTATTAACGACGGTCTAGTATTTCTTACTAAAGTTTAACATAATTATAATAAACAGCCTACCATTTAAAATGATTTCAAACAACAAAATATTTTATTTTATATACGCTTTTAATACAATACATTTTATGGTATTTATAAATTTAACATCGCTTTGGCACCAATCATAATAGTACATACATAATAATATATCGGTACATATATGTATTAAATTTAAATAAAAATAAATAAATTTGTATTATATTAGTTTAAATTTGTGTATAGTTTTAATGAAATTTCAATGTTCTATAGATTATGAGATGGAAATTCGGTGTATGAGTGGCTAATTGAATTTATTAAAAATCTAAAAATTGTAAACGTTTCCTTATTATGTTGGCTTATAAAACAATTTATTCTTTTATTCATTTTTTATAATTAAATTTAATAATATATGTTTTACTAAAGTATTGAATTAAAAAAAAAAAATGTATGATTTCCACAAACTCTTGATACCTATTAAATACGATAGGTAAAAATTTGCATACTAAATATATATATATATAAATAAAATCATTAATTAAAATATGGAAGTATTCAAGTATTTTATCTCGATTATTATTAAAATATATATTATGGCTTTATAATTGGCTTGAAATTACGATGTAGTTTTGATATACATTTAACTATATTTTGTGATTTTATATAAATATTTTTTAAATAACAAAAGTACTATAAGCAAACAAATTTTTACAGATTTTAATACATTTTACTTTTGGGTTCAAGCAATTCTTACTGGTTAAAACGAAATTATAAATATTCTATGTTTTAATCTTAATCATAACATAACAGTGTAGTATTACATACCTACTCCGTCTTTGTCAAGCATAATTTTAATATTTAATAGGTACCGCATATACATACCTCTATAAATATATTTTATTATAATTATTAATTTATAAATATTTATTAGGCGAGAAAAAAATTTGAAATGTAACATATTAATGGCGTAAATAATAAATATATTTATACTCTTTAATATTTTGTTAAATATTTTGATAACTATGTACAATATTGAATCATAGCAAACCAAATACCACAATAAACGGGTTTTAACGATTCCCTAATGTTTGGCATTTTTACTTAAAAACATTCCAAAATTATTTTTCTATTTTAGATACGGATTTGGCTATTAGTCATGTCTTCGATATGATTAATATTATCGTGTTTTCTAGTGGTATAGTCGTATTATAAATACAATTTCACAACCCTTAATTTTCGTCACAGTCTGTTATTGAATTACTTTACATTAATTATATTTTATACATTATTACAATTTGAACCTTATTAACTATAACAAAAAAAAAAAAAAAAACAAAAAAATGAGTAGGTAAATAAATATTGTAAAAGACCTGTGGCCTGATTGTATATATTATGTAATTATATTAATATACTTATTGTTATAAATTAAGTCCTTTGATATTATATTATTTAAATTTTTGTTCGTAGTAATATTTTTTAACACAAATTAGAACAGATAAAATTTCCTTTTTTATTCGTTTAAATTGTAGGCACGAAAATCACCCTTTGTTTTAATATATTATTATTCATACTTACTATTTTCTTTCTTTAAGCAGTAAAATTGTTTTTACGTATTTTATATAATAAAAATAAAATATGTAGGTATTGAGTTTTTTTTTTGAAACCATCATACCTAATTCGATAAATGCTGACATTAAGCGTACGTATAGGTATAATAAATATTTTTTATTGGGACTTTATCATATAGTTTTTATCAATAACAATATAACAATTGGGCACATGTTATTATGTTAATGTATATTATTTCACCCAAACGATTTAGTGTTTAGAAGACTGATTTGAATCTACATTTTGATAATTTGATGTTATAATTATGTTATCGTCTGCATATTATAGGAAGACATGTATATTACAATAGTTAGGTAGGTAGGTACATACTATATAATTTATAGTCACATAATACTCATAAATTATTCTAACATTTAATTTGTTGTTGTATGGTTAAATCTTTTGGCTCTCAGCGACAACTGCAGTATTAATGCATTGAAAACGAATTCACAATTTATTAATGTACCTAGTTGTTATAACAAAGCTTTTTTAAGAACTGTTAAATGTTATACATACGTCATACATACTCGCATACATACATACATACATACATACATACATACATACATACATACATACATACATACATACATACATACATACATACATACATACATACATACATACATACATACATACATACATACATACATATATACATACATACATACACATAGCTACATAATGATGTATATTAGGTACTAATACTGCATGAGCCTACACACCACCACCATTCAGACATTCATACCGTAAAAAAGCATAGGGTTTTTGGGCGTCTGCGAGACCGACGATGGTAAGTTATGATCGACATAGTCTTGTTGCTGCTGCTGCTGTTGCATGTGCAGTCTACTATTGGCTGAAACTCCTCTGGTGGGAGATGTCTGTTTAAATTGTGTCGCCGGATGTTCGTCAGACGGTTGGAAAGCGTGCGGCGGTAACTGCGGTTGCGATAACTGCTGCTGCTGAATGTTGGGTGGTGGGGGCGGTGGTAACTGGTAGTACCGAGTGGTCGATATCGCGGCCGTCTGGGTGCCGCGGGCGATAACAAACTGTTGGCCATGGTGTATTCTGGCATGGCCGTGTTGGACGATGTACTCGTTAGGCGGGTGTCGGATTTGAACCTGCGGCGGCGGCGGATGTCCGGTGACGTTTCCGGTGGCGGTGGACGCGGCCGTTGCAGCTGTGGTTAACAGGTGGACCTGGACGGGACCGACCGCCTGGTACGGCACGCGAATGGTCTGCTGCTGTTGGCCGTGCGTCACTCTGATGATAGACCGTTGGGACGCGGCCGGGTATGGTGGAGGGGCCCGCGTGTCACCTTGGATCCTAGCGCGGACAGACGCCACCGCGGCCGCCTGATATCTGGGCACAAAGTCAGGCTGAACATCGAGTGGCGTCGTCTGAAGGGCTGGTTCACCATAGTACGATCGGGGACGTTGAGGAGGCTGTGGATTGTTCTTGATGGTGATCTGTGCAGAGAACCCGGAGCGGATTCCATGAACTTCCGGTCGCCGGTTGAAGCCGTAATCATCGTTTTCGTCGTCCTCGTCCTCGGCCGCGGACGCAGTGGCCGTGGGTGGCATATACCGCTTGCGGATCTTCTCCAGGCGGCCCGAGTCCTGTTGCACGAACGCCGCAAGCTCTTCCTGTCGGTGTGAGCTAGGAGCTTGAGTGCCGGCTACCACGTCTGGTTGCGGACAGTGCGATGTTTGCGGTGCGCCTCCCGCCACCGATCCTCCGGTGGCCGGATGTACGTTGCCTGTGACGCACGCCGTCGCTAAAGTGGACAGGAAAGGTTTTCCACCGGTCGCTGATCGGACGGCTGCTCTGCTGCTGGCAGCCGAGTGACCGTCGCATAGGTCTACTCCGTCGGCTTTGCCAATTGGGTCACCGTCGGCCGTCGATTGAACAACTGGTGGCGGCAGTGGTTGGTCATACCGGCCACCACCACTACCACTGCCCAACAATTCTGTGAGTTTTTTGTACGCCGGAGTAGTGGTGGTCGTGGACGGCGTCCCTGAATCACATTGCACCAACACAGTGTAAGCGGTCGCCTGTTCCTGCATGACGCCCGACGCCTTCTTGGTAGAGTCATCTGCATCATCGTCGCTGTCACACGTCAGCCGCCGGATCTTCTCGATCAGCGATATCTCTTTGGAGTCGTTGACGTTCTTTTTTTTCACGGTGTTCCGCCTCAAAGTACTTCGTTCGATGGTTCGCCTGATAAGGCTGTTCGACGTGTCGTCGTCGTCGTCGTCGCTGTGTGGTTCGCTCTTGAACCCTCCGCCGCCCAAGCCACCGTTCATCGATCGACTGTCAAACGCCCGGAGTGACTCTTCCGTGATTAAGTATTTGTTCAGCAGCCTTTCGTCGTCCGTCTCCTTGATGCGGGTTGGCGGGCATACGAATTTCGTGGTCGGAAATAACTGTCTCACTGCCGAGTTTGGATTCCGGTTGTTGTACAGCATAGTATTATTACCACATTTAATCATTACATACCCCTCATCGGGGGCGACGGCAGTGGCACCGGTGACGTCTTTTACATCTTCGGTCTTGCAGGCACCGTCAAGACCGGGCGCGTCCACGGGCCTGGTCTCCTGCACGATCTGCCTCTCGGTAACCGTGGTCATGGTTATCGTTTCCACGATACACCGTGGTTGCTGGCCCGTACTTGAATTTGTATCACAGACAGTGTTTGTTTTCGACAACTGAAGAGCAGATGCGTTTGTTGGTGGCTGTTGCTGCTGCTGCTGCTTTTGTTCGTCTTCTGCAGATAACATAAATAAATCAATTTAAAATTGTAAAATATATATTATTAATTATTATCATAATGTTATATTCAAGATCCGACAAACTAGTCGATTTTGGCCTAGAATTCGTTAAATATTATTTTCTCAGTATATGGTACAATGTATATGGTAGGTATATTGCCAAATAAAATCACAACAATAAAAATCATCTGAAGAGATTTAATAAACAGAAATGTCACATAATATTATTTAATTTTTGATCCTTTTGAAGAGTTAAATAAAAACCATCTATAAAACTATCCAACTAGGCACCGGTAGTGTAATAAATAATACATTTTTTTAATGAGATTAATTTGTACCAAGTATATAGGTATTTGACGAGTAGATACATGTATTATTCTTTTCCAGCAGTATGTAGATAATGCAAATAATATACGTGTGATACTTTGACTAGTACATTATATTAACATTAAAAATGACGTTTATTACACAGTTATATTTTTATACAAATTATAAAATTATATTATTTTACTAAAATTGTATTACTTATACCTTGCATTCGACTTTCTTACCATTATCATCTTACTAAAAATAGATGAAAATAAAATCCAAATAATATCCCCATTATATTATATACTATTTTAAAGTGCAGGTCTGCAGTGGTCTTCAACCAAAATTGGGTCGTAAACTATATAAATGGTTTGACCAATTTGTCACGAGAGTCGTCTTTGTTAAAAATAAAAAAAGTAAGATTATAAAATTATAATGTATAAATGTAAATAAGTTATGAATGGATTGAACAACCATTCACAGTAGAAATAATGACAGTTAAAATGTCTACTGATATAGGAAATTAATTAATTGAGCTTGCTTGCGATCCCAAACTTAAACAAATGTTTATTTAAACTTCTTTGGAAATGTTTTGGGTACACTAATAAACGGTAAATTACGCAAAACTATAGCAGCTAAAGTCTTTTTTTTCTTCCATGGCCAACAATGTTGTCACGGGTTGAGAAAATTTTTTTTACAAAAACAGGTGCGATGCGAGTCAAAAAGACTACTTAGACAGTGTATACTATTCAATAGAAGATAATTCGATGAATACCCTCAAATAAAAATAGGAGCATTGCCAATTTAATTATAAACTATAAAGCCATAATGGATGTCGTTGGTTGACTACCCGTAGTAAAATATTATAGTAAATATTAAATATTAATATTTAATATTAATTATTGAATATAGTTCGTAGAATATATTATCATATATTATATATTAAATAATATGGTATGAGGGTAATACTGACTACTATAATAGTATAATGTCTTAAAAAATATATAATACAATTTTTACCCGAAAAATGAAACGTTCTACTCACAGGGACCCACTATAATATTCGATATCCGTGGTCCAGGGGCTCTAGCTACCCTTAATCCAGGCCTGGCCACTGTGAAAACCCTACACCAATTTCCAAGGGGTAGGATATGAACTCAATATAATGTAGGTACGTTATACATATATTATTTTTATTGTTGGAAAAAAAATCTATAGAAAGGTTAGAATAAATGCTTTCTTCACATCTTCTCCACTGAGGAGATTTCCTTGTACAACCAGAATCGTATCTAATATTTAAAATAAATATGTACCTACCTATGTTGAGTAATAAGGAAGTAAAAGTACCAGGTACCTATACAGTTAATTTAACTTTTAATACTATCATGAATAATCAATAACAATTGTACATAGTTATACATACAACTGATACAAGTGTATAAATGTATCATTATTTTACTCATTAGTCATTACTCATTACTCATTAAAACCATCATTACCTATC